AATCTCCCTCATACACCCTCCCTTCGAAGACTAACATTCCTCATCCCAAACAGCCTACCTTGTCATCATGTTTCATGCTGCTGAAAATTCCCAAAGTGATCTTATCCTGATCTAAATTCCAATCCAAAACTAGCACTTCAACATTTCCCTCTGAACTCTTGTCATTCTTAATTTAATACACTGCACCCAGCTAGCTCCTTATGTCGCTGTGTTTATCCTTGCACATGTGGTCATTGCAAGGAAAAGGCCACCCGGTGCCTCATCTTGCTTTACCTGCAAAGCTTGGACTCAGCCTTACAGACCAGATCAAATGTCACCTCCTTCAAAAGTACACACATGAACAAACGCAGTAAGTTATTCATGCCTAGCTGCTTTGTGACCTCCGACATGTATTCCATAGCACTGCGTAACTTTTTCTCATAATTAGTGATTCAGATTATTCCTCCCACTTCTCCAAGCACTTAAAAATAGGGCCTCCCCAGTGTCTACCATAAGGCTTGATACTTAGTAGGTAGGCACTACAGATTTATTGAATCGATTACATGTGATTTATTCCATTAGTCGTCAATGAAGGGTTTATGTTGTAAATGAAAAAATAAAGCTAAAAATCTGAGAAAAATTGGAGAATATTGTAATTAAAATGAGTAAGGAAAAGTGGAACTTGAATTTATCAATAAAGTTTTCCCCCTTAAATCCAAAAAGATTTTCACATTCTTTTGATAAGATTACATTTAATCTTTAGCAGAAATTTTGACCCATCAGTTATTTCATTTTCTCTCTCTCCAGTATATTATTACTGTGAAGTGTTCCCACTGTACTGCCTTCAAGCTACAATTGAGTTAGAATCTCCTAGGCCTTAAAAATAATTTTAAAAAGTACTCAAGCAGCCCCATAATACCTCAGCTCTAACAGTTTATGTTTTCTCTGTACAGCTAAGCTCCTCAAAAAAGAAGAGAAAAAGAAAAAAAGAGAAAATGATAAATTATTTGTTTTTCTACTTAACTATTCATTGCTTTCAAATCCACACTATTAAAAAATACCAATAATCTTATTGTCAAAGCAATAAATTGTTTTTCTTATTGTCAAAGCAATAAATTGTTTTTCTTACTTGAACTTTTTGCAGCACTTATTATTTTTAAAATTTACGATCCACTACTAGTTGACTTTTTCATTTCTTTTGAAGTTACTGTCTCTTGGCTTCCTAGATGCTTCTCTCTCTTGCTCCACTTCTACCACTGTCTTCCATTCATTCTTAGTAGCTCTTATTGAAATCTCTAGCTCATTCTGCCCCTCAATATTGTAGTCCCTAAAATTATCTCGTTGGCACTCCTCTCTCTCTGTCTCTCTCTCTCCTTTGTCTGCTCATTTAACATTCTCTTCCTCAGTGATATCACTCATTCTCAGAACGTTTAATTCCTACCTAAATGCCAACAATTTTCACATAAATATGTAGCTCAGAATCTTTACCTGCAACACACATACTGTATATGCAAGAGTCTTTGGGCAAAACCAACTGTATGTCCCTTCTCATATAGGCATCTCAAACTCAAACTGAATTCATCATCTTTCCTATTCTTTCTGTAGTTTCCATCTCAGTTAATGGCAGCACCATCTACATACTGGCAGATGGAATCTAGTCAACTTAGGCTCTCTTTTTCCTTGTCAGGCCACTTGTAACTAGTGACCAATTATTTAAATTCCACCTCCTTGACCTCTTGCATATCTGATTGCTGCTCCTCAGTCCCATACTACCTCAGGTCAGGTTCCTCTAATTCCATGCTCATATTAGTGCAAAATCTGTATTAGCTCATCCAGTTTCATACTCCTTCAATCTATCCATCTCCTTGTAGTCTAGATGGTCTTCTAAAAACACAAGATCGATTATGTTACCACCTGTTTAGACCCTTCAGAGAACCCATTTTACCTACTGAATAGAATCGTTATACCTCGATATGACATAACAAGTTCTCCTTGCCTGTCCAGACTTAACCTCTGGTCAAGCTTCCTCCCTCCAACTCAACACCTCAGCCGTACCCTATTGCTTATAGTTCTCTGAAACACAAAGTTCCTGAGGACCTCCTTGGCTTTTCTCTCATGTGTCTCTTTGCCTGTAGGGCCCCCAGCCCCTTAAACCTTCCCATTTCTGTGTCCATATCATGAGGAACATCTTAAAGTAAACTCAACTCAATGGTCACTCCCTCTCTCAAAACTTTCTTGATTCCCTCTACCAGGTAGAAGTGACCAAGTTCTTCACTGTACCGCGTGCATGCTTTCATCATGGCACTTATCACACTTATTGCTGAGCTGAGAACTGTATTAGACTTTAAGTTTCCTCATAAACTGGGAACATATCATATTTGGCATTTTATCTTCAGTACTTTGCAACAGGCCTGGGGTAGCATGACCCCAAGCATAATTTGTGGAAAGAAGGCATGAAAGTATTACCTTTTATGTTTGCTTTCTAGCTTTCTAATTGTTTAGCTATTTAAAAAAAAAAAATGCAAACATAACTTTATATTTAAAAAATGAAAATTTAGAAAATAAATGAATGTATATCATTTATTTTTATTAATTCTAAAATTTTTCAGTTGTAATTGTGCCACAATATTATGTGGAATCTGAATCTTCTGCATTAAAAAAAAAAAATACCCAGAGTGATTTTTACTCTTTTTAACAGCAAAAGTATGTCAAGACTATTTTCCTAAGAAATAATTAGACTTCTGTAGTGACATTGCTCTAAAGATTTGCATTATCACAAGATAAAAACAAGACATCATACACGTAAGGTAAAATAACTATTTTCAGATGTTTTTCTGGAAGAAACTGCTTCGTAACCTCTACTCCTACTATTTCAATTTCCACTTCTTACAAAAAGGTTTCCAGATGTTTCAGTTAGTGTTTTATCCTGTTCCACCTCCCTCCCCACCCTCCAACCTCAACAGAACTTATTTGTACACCCTGTTCCTGATTATGCTGATCACTAATCCTTGTGAGAGTTCCCGGCTCTCGTCAAAGGCGAAAAATTAAGTTATACACAAGCCACTTATAACCACAGCCTAAGCACCATCTCGTCACAGGATTTGTTGGAGGAAAACATATCATAAACTGTTACCCATGTCTAATGGCTACAGAAACTGACATCCCAAAGTTGTCACTTTGTTTTACATCAAGGAGGCTAGAAATCCCCCAGTATTCCCTCACGGTTTATTCACAATCCCCCAGTATCCCCTCACATTTTGGGTGGCAGGGAACCACATCAGTGAATCTCAGGAGGCAGATCATTCAATAAATAGAAAGCAAATGGAAAATTTTAGCAAGGGAAAGGAATATAACCTAGATAAAGAAAAATGGAAGAAGACAGGGAAAAAGTGTGTGTACAGATTTCCAAAGGTGAAGAAAACCTGGGTATGGTCAAGAGAGGAAGGACAGGTTAAGATCCAGACATTGAGTGAGGATCTCTCTGATACAGACTGACACAAAAGTGTTAAACAGAACACTTTAGGAATTCTCGAGGAATGGGATATTGAAAAGAAACTCACATTTTTGGTATGTCTGCAATGTTCCAGGGACTTTGCATAACTTAGCAACCTTAGTACTCATAGCCACCTTATAAGAGAGGTTTTGTGCCTGGCCGGGCGTGGCTCAGCGGTTGAGCATCCACCTAGGATCCAGAAGATAGAAGTTTCAATTCCCGGTCAGGGCACACGCCCGGGTTGCGGGGTCTCCATCCCCAGTCAGGGGCGTGCAGGAGGCAGCTGATCAATGACTTTCTCATCATTGATGTTTCTCTCTCTCCCTCTCCCTTCCTCTCTCTGAAATCAATAAAGATATTTTAAAAAGAGAGGTTTTGTTACTTCTGTGTAACATTGGTTTAAGTTAATATGAATTAATATGTATGAAGTACTTAAAACAATGCCAGGCACATAGTAATCACTATATACATGTTTATCATCACTAGCATTTTATAAATGAAGAAACTGAAGCCCCAGAATACATAAGTAACAAGTCCAATATCACATAGTAAGTGGCTTACCTGGTATTAGAACCTAGTCTGCATGACAGTGTGAGGCCTTTTTACTAGACCTCAAGACACATTTCTGCCTTAGATTGGCTAAGTTGCCTGGGAAATAAGATCCTTCCCTATGTATGTGAATTACCTCTTCTATGGACTGAAAAATATATATTTTATTAATATGTCACAGGGTGAATTATTGGAAATAAAAGTATAAGATGGAAGCTAAATGTAACTAAAATTAAATACTTTATAATTTAATTTAATCATCTCCATAATATTCTGGAACTCAATAGCACAAAAGGAAAGGGAAGGAATAGGGTGTCATTGCACTGAAGGGCACCATTTAAATCACTGAATCACAGAATGTCAGAGCTGAAGTGACCTAGAAGGCATTTGCTTTAACTCCCCCATTTCACAGGGGATCAAACCAAACAGGTGATGTTGATAGGACTCTCCAAAGGCCTCACAACTTCACGATGCAGAACAATTAGAGCAAAATACCAGGTTTGATGTGTCTACTTGGAAACCTCCTTCCAAAGCCATGAGTTCAAAACTCATCAAAAGGTAGCTTTTATAAATCTAAATTTCCAGATCAGATCACAGAGAGTAAATAAAATACCATTTGATTTGGCCTTCATGGGATGGCAGGAAGGAGAAGGGACAGGGACAATGCTTTACTTGAACACACACTCTCACCTTTGGATGCTGTACCTAATTGGCGAAAACAACACACCCTCAACGGCAAAGCACTCTGCCAGCAAGAGAATCTTAGAAAAACAAACATCTGTGTATCTATTGAGTTTAATTTTTCAGATGTTCTTATAGGAAGTAGAACACAAGTGGTGGAGAGTGAACAGTTAACATGATTGTAAATCATGAAAACATTCATCTGTCTTTCCTCTGTTTTGTACATTCCTCGGAGAGGTAGCTTATCTCATGCATTTCTCAAGGGTCTGGCCAATTTGGACTCCCGGGGACAGAGTACCTGTGTGCCCAGGCTCCGGACGCTGGGGAGGAGTGGAGGCTCGAGAATGCAGGCTGAAGGTGGTGTTCCATTCATCATCCAGCATGCTGTTCGTGCTGAAGTATTTGGCCTGCATCAGGGCTCCTGCGGGGGTGAGGGTGAGCTGTGGTTGGATGGCCCCAAGCTGCCTGGCTTCCCCGGGGCAGTTCAGGCACCGCCGAGGCACTGAAAGGCATTCCTAGTGGTCTTCTCTCCCAGCTGGTGGCAGGGAAGCCTCTGCTTCCAGTTCCTGCCTGGAGAGGCCCAGCCCCTCTCCTGCAGACTTGTGCTCTGAACGCCAGATTGGTCAGGCCAAGGGGAAATAGCATGTGTTTTCTATTTGGGCGGTGTCTGTCTGAACAATTACTGAAGCTGTCCCGCTTCTCAGGTCTCTGTACTTTCTGTTTAACTGTGTAAGAGGCAAGACCTTACGATCCCAGAGAGGTCCCTTCAGACTCTGCAAAACACTACTCAGTCAGAGGGATCTTTTACCTACTTTCTTACCCGTCATATACTCATTGAGGCACTTATATTAAGTTGGACTTCTCTGTGCCTCTGAAAAAACAGAAGAGACTGTAGGACTGGCCTCTTCTTTTCTCTGAGGTTGTAGTATAAAGCATCACATGCAAGGAATGTCAGCACAAGAGTCCTTTTGAGGATATCTAATTGATTCTGCTCTTTTATTTTACAAAAAGAGATTGAAGCCCAGCTAGGTGAGAAATTGCTCTAGAGTCATGTAGCTGCTTAGTGACAGAATTAGCTTTAAAAACNGATTGAAGCCCAGCTAGGTGAGACATTGCTCTAGAGTCATGTAGCTGCTTAGTGACAGAATTAGCTTTAAAAACACTTTCTGACCCTGGCTGAGTGCTTCAGTTGGTTGGAGCATCATCTGTACACCAAGAGGTTGCCAATTTGCCCAGCTGGCATGGCTCAATGGTTGAGCACGTCCTATGAACCAGGAGGTCATGATTCAATTATCGGCAGAGTATATGCCCAGTTACTGATAGATGTTTCATTGTTACTCCTCTCTCTCTCTCTCTCTCTCTCTCCCCCTTCCTCTTTTTAAATATACCCTCGAGTGAGGATTAATAAAATAAAAAAGAAAGAAAAAAAAGTGCTTTCTGGTTGTCAATTCAATAATCTTTCCTCTTATAGTATTTGGGCTCAATTTAACATTTTATAGCACATTTGCTACATCATGATCATGACACATTTCACTTGAAGTAAAGACTTTTAGAATTATTACTAATGACCTGTGACTTTAGGAAACTAGGTAACAATTTGTGCCTAAATTCCCTAAGATAAGAAGGAAATGAGAAGTTTGCTTTAGATAATGTCCAAAAATTCTTCCCAAATCAGTACAATAGAATGATATTATTCTACTCATATTTTTCTATGTTTGGGGTGATAGCTTGGCTAAATCAAGCATACTAAATATAGATATGGGAGAGGCTTGGATTAGGGCCATCAGCACCTATGACAGATGGATCAGGAAGTATCTATTGTAGATTCATCATGTGTCTCAAGCTATGTATTATTTATAAGGTTATTCTAAATAAAACAAATCTAAAGGGGACTTTCTTTTAAATAATGCCTTGTAAAAAGTAGGAAATCAAAAGTTACTTGGTCATTTTCATTGGGTTGATGTATTAGAAAAGGTTACAGAAGAGAAGGCAGGAAAAAAAATTGAAGTAAATGATAAGTGAAGCACATATGAGAATAAAGCAGGAAAATGGAATATTAGAAATCAACATTTAGGAGGTGCTAATAATTATGATTCTAATGACATAGTAATAGAACTATTTTCCAAACTTCAGTGATTCATGTAGATCCTTGACAATTTTTGCCAAACAACCTTCATTAACATTTTACTTCTTGTCCTTAAATAATTTTTTTTAACAGTGATAAAAATACTTTTTGAACACCTACATTATTGCAGTACTATTCTCTGAGGCATATCAGAAAATAGTAGAGTTTATTAGACTATGATAAGAATTATGAAAATGTATGGAGAATAAGGGAGATTAAGAATGTACAGGAAGGAGGGTTGCTAATTTTATTTTATTTTATTTTATTCTATTTTTTTAATTCTTATCATAGTCTAATAAACTCTACTATTTTCTGATATGCCTCAGAGAATAGTACTGCAATAATGTAGGTGTTCAAAAAGTATTTTTATCACTGTTAAAAAAAATTATTTAAGGACAAGAAGTAAAATGTTAATGAAGGTTGTTTGGCAAAAATTGTCAAGGATCTACATGAATCACTGAAGTTTGGAAAATAGTTCTATTACTATGTCATTAGAATCATAATTATTAGCACCTCCTAAATGTTGATTTCTAATATTCCATTTTCCTGCTTTATTCTCATATGTGCTTCACTTATCATTTACTTCAATTTTTTTTCCTGCCTTCTCTTCTGTAACCTTTTCTAATACATCAACCCAATGAAAATGACCAAGTAACTTTTGATTTCCTACTTTTTACAAGGCATTATTTAAAAGAAAGTCCCCTTTAGATTTGTTTTATTTAGAATAACCTTATAAATAATACATAGCTTGAGACACATGATGAATCTACAATAGATACTTCCTGATCCATCTGTCATAGGTGCTGATGGCCCTAATCCAAGCCTCTCCCATATCTATATTTAGTATGCTTGATTTAGCCAAGCTATCACCCCAAACATAGAAAAATATGAGTAGAATAATATCATTCTATTGTACTGATTTGGGAAGAATTTTTGGACATTATCTAAAGCAAACTTCTCATTTCCTTCTTATCTTAGGGAATTTAGGCACAAATTGTTACCTAGTTTCCTAAAGTCACAGGTCATTAGTAATAATTCTAAAAGTCTTTACTTCAAGTGAAATGTGTTCATGATCATGATGTAGCAAATGTGCTATAAAATGTTAAATTGAGCCCAAATACTATAAGAGGAAAGATTATTGAATTGACAACCAGAAAGCACTTTTTTTTCTTTCTTTTTTATTTTATTAATCCTCACTCGAGGGTATATTTAAAAAGAGGAAGGGAGAGAGAGAGAGAGAGAGAGAGAG